TGCAGGGCTCCTCCTTTCCAGAGCTCTTGGCAGAAGATCCTGAGCTGTTGGTGGTTGATTCCCTCTCACAGCAGACTGGCTGGTGAATGTCTCCCAGAAAGCTGGGGAGTAGCAAGAACAAGTGGCTCCCAAGAGCTGCTGTCTCCAGTCAACTCAGAGCCAGATGCCTTGTCCTGTGAGGAGTTTGCTGTAAGACCAGTGTGACTGTTGTGCTGGTCCTAGTCTCTGAGCCCAGCCTGTCCTTCCACAAGATCCAGCCTCCCTTGGCAAATCTGGAAGCCAGCCAAGATGGTGTTTAGCTCCTGACAGACAACCTTGGGCTGCTTCAACCATCCAAAGTGCTGATGGCAGCCAAAGTGCCCTGGGGTCCTGTGAAGCTGCTCCTCTCCCCTGAAGGCAGATATCCAAACTCATGGATGTGACCATGCTAAACCATGGTCCTGACCACTAAACTACCACAGTCCATCCACCCACCTGCTGCTGAGCATCTCACACAGCCACAGCCTGTACTCAGTTGCCCAGCCTCCAGAGTCTCCCAGCCAGCGTGTCTGGCAGCCTCCAAATATTGGAGTCCCCTTGGATCTGAAGCCAAGTCAGTTGTCTGGGCACCCTGGGGGTCAGCCAGACAATCAGTCCTGGCATGTATGAGCTATCCTGGCCAGCCTTGTGGGGCAGACAAGGCCCAGGAGCTCTGCAGAGCCAGCAATGCTCGTGGGGTAAAGCAGGACTTGGGAACTAGAGCTCCATCCTTGGGAAAGGCTCCTGGCAGTGCTCCTGGAACCAGGCTGGGAAGGGTCAGTCCCTCGGGTGATGGGCAGGTGTGCCACAAGCTGGAGTGAGGCCAGGAGAGGCTGAGGGAGCTGGACCTGCCTCGGTGTGAAGAAGAGAAGGGTGAGGGGTCTCAATCACTGCTCGGGATGGTGCGGTGCTGGAAGCAGAGAGGGTGGGGAGGTGCAAAGCAGAGGGATGAAGTGGCAAAGCTTCAGCAAGGGAAGTGCAGATGGGAACAAGGCAAAGGAGGTGCAGCCCAAGAGAGGGACCCAGGCCAGCTGCAGGGTTTGCCCACTCCAAATGGTCCCCAGTTACCCCTCCAGCCCCTGCTCCGTGGCTACACTCCAGGTGGGATCTGGCCATCCCTTATAGACTGGCCTTTCTTCATTGTGGCTCCTGACTCTGCTCCAGCCCCAGAGGCACTCAGGTGACCCAAATTCCTCTGCCTGCCTTCCTGTCAGGGCTGGGGTGGGGGAAACACTTATAAACCCCCCACTCCTAAGTGGCCAGAGTGGTGAGGCAGCACTCCTGGCTCATCTGCAGCCTTTTCTCCTAAAATTTCTTTCCCACATGGCATCTTCGGGGTTACAAGGTGATTAACACCCCCTTTAAGCAAATTCTGGATGCCTTTAAGCCCCCAGGGTGTTACACATGGCTTACAAGTTGGGCTCCATTAGCACTTGATTTGCTGTTTATTAAAGCCTCAATTAATCTTGTATTAACGCTTTTCAAACACAACTTTCCCGGAGGTGTAGCAGCCTCTGAGGCAAGGAGCTTAACTTCTCCCCAGCCTGGTGTCACCGATGTCAGGGAGGATTTAGCTCTGGATCTCTCCAGGCTGAGAGCTGAGGGGTTGGGAGGCTGCAGAGAGCGAGAGCCACCCATGAGGATGCTCTGATTAGTGTGGGAAAACACCACCCCAGAGACACCTCTGGCTCTGCCGCTCCCAAATCTGGGGTGACTGGGGGAGTAGGATCCACGATCTGGGAGCCCACTGCCCACCCTACCACCCCGGGGGAGAAGGGGAGAGGTTTGGGGGCAGCCTGGGGGTGGTGTAGCTGGCAGAGGGAAGATCTGCTAGCCAGGATCCTGCAAAGCTGGAGCAGGTAGAGGGTTCTGGAATGGGAAGATACCTGAAAAGCAGAACCCTTTCCTGCCCCTGCCCTGGCAGCCCTGTGGCTTTTGGAGGGATGTGAAAGAAGGGCTGGATTCGGAGGAGTGTGGTCAGCAGGAACAGCACCCTGTGCTCCTCTGTGGGCTTGGGGTGCTGCCCCGGGCACCCTGGGCAGGCACGGCAGGGGGGCTGCCTGTGCTGGCATCCAGACCCATGTCCGGGCGAGGCAGTGGTGGGATGGAGGAGATCTCCCATCCCTGCCAAGCTGGGATGCTGCTGTTGTCATGGCAACGTGGGAGACCTGCGAGCTGGAGCCCATAACCCACCCCTTTGGGTGGTGGGGGAGTGTGCAGGGCTGGGGGTGCTCTCCATCCTCTCCCTTGAGCCCTGGCATCCCCCCACACCCCAAAATTGCCATCAACCCCCTCCTCCCAAAGCTGACACACCCACCTCTCTTTCAGCTGAAAGACCCTGGTGAAAACACTGGGTTTTCCACGGGGAAAAAACACCTTTGGATGAAAAAATGTGTCCAAACCCATTGCAGGGAGCACAAAGCCAATGCAGAGATGTCAGCAGCCTCCTGCTTCCCTCTGCCCTGTGCTGAAATCCTCCCGGCTGGCTGAGGCTGGAGCAAAGGCACTTCACACCCAGCAGGGTTTGGCCCAGAGCTGTTCCCTGTGGGATGCTCACAGAGCTCTTTCACCAGGCAGGGATGTACCTGGGAACTGGCTGTGGTGGGATGGGGCTGGAGATGCAGCCAGCTCTGCTCTCCCTCTTCCCAGAAGTGGCTGGATTGTCACACAAGGTCACCTCTCCCTTCTTCCACCAGCTGTGGCCCTGCTGAGACATCTCACGTGGCACAGGCTGGATTTTTCTCCACCTCAGGACAGCTTTTGCTGTCTGGCTCCAGCAGCTCATCCCCGCTGGGGCCCTTGGCAGCTGCCAGGCTTTAACTGACGTCTGTCCATCATTCCCAGCAGCTGGAATCACGGACAGCAGAGGGGCCCCGAGGGAAGGACAGGCAGGGATGAACCTGAGCTGCATCCCCTCCGTGGGCATTCTGCTGCCACCAGAAAGGGATCGGAATGCCCTCGTGCCTCCTCCCACAGCTCCCATCCCTCCAGCATTCCTGCTCAGCCCTGTGCTCGGTTCCGCTGGGGTGCCGGGTGGCACATGAGTCACATTTCCTCCCAACGCCCATTCCAGCTTGGTGCTGCCACTATTTTTGGAAATTCTTGGAAGCAGATCAGCCCTGAGAAGCACATTTAATGGGTCCTCACCACGCCAGGCTCACGTCCCCCCATGTCCCTGTGCCAGGCTAGGGAAGCCCCCGTCAGCCCGGATCCTGCGCTCCCCTCCCAGTTTGGGATGCGTGAGTGGGAACTCACTTCTCATCCCACAGCCCCTCCTGAGTCAGGGGGGAGCTGAAGCACCGGCTTAGTGGCAAAACATTACCTTTTAAAGGACCTGCTTGGGATTGGGGTGGGACTTCCTGCAATGCCAGCTTGGCATGGATCATTGTGCTACCATTGAGTGGATCATTCCCAGCTATTTTTACTCTCAACCCCTGGTGTTTTAGCTGGGGCTGCAGTGCCTCACTTGGTGTCTCTGAGCAAAACCGGGCACAATCCAGCTCTGGAATCAAAGGGTGGATGAAATGAGAGGAAGGTTCAGCAGCTGAGTGTAACAGCCAGGCCTTTCCAGCTCGGGAGAGATCTGGTTTTACACATGCACCCACATCCGTGCCACCCCACACCTGCCACCCTGCGCCTCTTCCCTCCAGTCCTCCAGGATCTGTACAAATGGAGGAGTTATTTTCCTTTCAGAGCAGTGATTGTGCTGCTCATCCTTTGCTTGGGGCACTGCCCAAGGTCAGTGGTCATGGCCCCCGGGATGTCCCGCTGCCTTCCTGGCCAAACCTGGGAGCAAACTCGGAAGTAACGCAGGGATGTGGTGGTTTTTTTGGGCAGGTGGTGGCTTGGTAAACTTCAGACACGTTTTTTGGGTCTGAAGGTTTTACCTGGAGACAAGCAGCTCTGGCCCTCCTGGCGCTGCCGGGCTCAGCATCCCGACCTTGCCGGGATAAAATTATCCATTTCAGTTTGAATTAAAGGCAGCTCCGCTGGAGCCGCGTGAGGTTCAGCTCGAGGACGTCAAATGGCAGCGTTCCCTTTTTTTGTCTGCATCGGGGAGGGGAGGGTCCTGCCAGCCAGCGCCTGGTGACAATGACATTGATTTCCTAGACCTCTTGTCGTGGCCAAATCCGTATTTTTAGCCGGGGAAGAGAAAAATATAAATCACGTGTCGAAGCAATGCTTTCCCTGCCCTGCTGGGAGCGAAGGAGACAAGAGCCGTCGCTGCTGGAGTTGTGGATGAACGGGGCTCGGCGCCCTGTCCCTGGAGCGGGGCTGGGAATGCACCAAGGAGCTGCATCTTCCCGGGGTCCATCCCAGGCACCGCTCCCAGCTGTGCACCACACAGCCCCCGCCCTGGGCTGGGGACCCCGAGCCCCCCGCCATGGGGGTCCTGTGGCAGGGAGCAGTGGGACCCCCACTCCCAAGGGATCCCATCCATCCCCTCGGCATCCCCTGTGACTATTTATCTTCCGGGGCAGGCGCTGCCTTCATCTCCTCTTCCCTGCCACCTCCTCCTCGCTCTCCCCCATCCTGTTCTCATTTCCCCAAGAAGACTTTAATGAAATCTGCCCTTAATTAAATCCACATTCATTTGCATAATTACCAGGAAATTGAAATTAGCCTGTGGACGTGGCTGGAATACATTTGGCATCAGGCAGCCCTGGCTGTTCAGAGGGGGCTGCACCAAGGGCAGCTCGGTGCCCCCCACCCAAGGGTGCTGCCACCCTGCCCCACGGTGCTGCTCCCCGTGCTCCTCCCCTCCCACCCAGGGGTGGCCACGATGGCCGGGCATGGAGGGGACATGGTGACACTGGGGGGACAGCGAGCCCCAGGCAGAGGTTGTGCTCCCCGCCCACACCAGCAGCATCACTTTTACTTTATTTAATAAAAAAGTCTTCACCGCCATTGACAATTTTTTTGTTGCTTTTATAACTATGTATTTTGTCATTTTTTTATGGTTTCAGTTGTGGTTTTTGTTTTTTGTTTTTTGTTTTTTTTAATCCTTTTCAACAGTGACAAACTGAGGTAACGTCTGTGACACTACAGCCTCTCCTACGGGAAGAAGGTCTGAAACCCGACAGCTGAGGGAACTGGAAATAAAAACCCGACAACCTACCGACACAGCGACCTCGATGGGGACAGAAATCACACGGGGCACCCCCCCGGGACAGACCCCCGGGAGGTGCCGCCGAGCCCTCCCAGAGAGGCACCGCCGAGCCCTCCCGGGGCGGCCGGGATCCCTTATCTACATTATTGCACGAAAGATTGAGGACATCGAGGGACCTAAGGCAAAAAGGAGAAAAACCGGTGCCTAGAGCGTCTCTACTTAGGGGCAATGCTACTTCTAAGGCCGCCCGGGGCCCGGCACCGCGGGCAGGGGGCGGAGGGGCCCGGGGGCAGCAGCGGGGGCGGGGGGTCCGCCCGCCTGCTCTGTAAACTGCTGCTGCTGCTGCTGGATAGCGGGATAGCCCTTGGTGCGGGAATTGCGGCGCCGGGGGGCACAGGGGGCCCCCCCGGCACCCACCCGATGGGAGGGAAGCCCAAACCATACCAGAGTGCTGCCGCCTTGGGGTGCCCCCCACCCTCTCCGGGTGAGCCCCCCACTCCGCTGGGTGCCCAAAACCGCGAGGGGAGTTGTGTCCCCCACACACACACCCCCGTGACCTTGTCACTAAGGGACCACCAGCGGCTCCTGCCACCGCCCCCTGCCTTGCTGCAGCCAGCCCCGGGGGTCCATCCCACCGCCTCCTCCCCGCCAGCCCCAGGGGAGAGTGACAGAGTTTGGGGAAGGGGTGACAGCGAGGAGGGGTGATGGGATGAGCACAGGGAACCAGGCTGGCTCTCTGGAGGCTGCTCGGAGCCCCCTCCCCTGCTCCCGGGGTGTGCAGACCAGCCTGGGGCTGCACTGCTGCCACCTCTTCCAGTCCCCAGGGACAGAGAGTCTGCAGAGGTGCCACTATGGCAGAGCCAGCTTGGCCCTGAGCATCCAACCTGCTGGATGGCACTGTGGCCACGGGCCACAGCCCGGAGCACAGCTCCCGGCTGGAGGGACCTGTCCCTCCAGTGGGGTCTGGGGCCATGTGGGGCAGGGCAGGGGGGGCAGGGGCTGCCAGTGGCAGTGGTGGGACACACAATGACACACAGACAGGGACACTTGCTACATCGATGGCTGCCAGCACCTCCCACCACAGGGAGGCAGCCGGGGTTGCCAGGGGTCCTGGGCTGCCTGAAACCCCCCAGCTCCCCGTCACCAGCCCGGTGTCCATCTCCTCATCCCTTCCCGGTCCCCACCAGTGGGGAGGGGATTGGTGGAAGGGGACAAATCATCACCCACCCAAACCTCCCCAAAGGCCTCCTCCATGGTATGGGGTCATCGGCCTTCCCGCTCCCAGTCCAGGGATCAAGCACAGGGTGGGGGAGAGCCAGTGGGCACTGCCTGCCCCGGACCTCCCATCCACTACCCTCCCGACTCTTCCTCCCTGTACTGGGAGACCTCTCCCCATGCCACCCTGTGGGAAGCCTTGGAGGGGCAGCATGGCCATGGCAGGACCGTGGGCACCCCTGTCCTCCCTGGCAGCACGCGGTGCCCTTGGCTGGGCTCCCGCTGCCGGCCTCACCCAGGCAGGGTGGGGGCATTGGCATCCTCGGCGCTACGGAGCGCAACCAGTTCTGTCCTTTTCCTCTTCGTTTGTGTTTCTTTTCCTTTTTTTTTGCTTTGGGAGACCCAGAGCCTGGTCCCGGCTCGTGCCTCCACCACGAGCAGCTCCTCCCATCCCTGTTGCCGGGGCGGGGGGACAGGACGGGTCGTGCGGCCGCTGCCGCGGCGCCGTCAGACGCAGATCTCTATTGCTGTGGCCAGGACCATCTGTCCTTTGCCTTTGTCCTGCCGTCCATCTGTCCTGCTGGCCGTCCCCGGGGCGGCCGCGCTGGACTCGGGGCCGCGCGCTCCGCTCCCTTCTGTCAGGACGGTCCTCTTGAGCGGGGCAGGGGTGCAGGAGCCGGCGGCCTCGTGGCAGTGGGAGCCGGCCGGGAGCTTGTCCCTGGTGTGTTTGCGGGAGCGGTAGGAGGGCCGGCACCGCACCTCGGCCATCAGGTCGCACTTGATGAAGTAGAAAACCTCCTTGACGGGGCAGCGCTTCTCGGGGTCGAGGGCCAGCAGGCGCTGGAACATGCGCAGGGCGCTGTCCGTGAAGCGCCGCCACTGCGAGGGCAGCCCCCCCAGCCGCCCCTTCTGCCACCGCACGAACTCCTCGAAGAAGGCATCGGACGCCACCGCCGCCTCCCAGGGGAAGTTGCCGGTGAGGACGCAGAAGATGAGCACCCCAAAAGCCCAGACATCGATGCTGGTGTCCACAGCAAAGCCCTCGGCCCGGCCGGCCTGGCACACCTCGGGCGCCGTGTAGGGGATGGTGCCACTGATGCGCTTGACCCGGCAGCCCACCTTGCGGGTCATGCCGAAGTCGGCCAGTTTGACGCGGCGGCAGTCGCGGTCGAAGAGCAGGACGTTCTCCGGTTTGATGTCCCGGTGCACCAGGCTCTTGCTGTGCATGTAGTCGAGGGCCAGGCCCAGCTGCTGCACACAGCGCTTCACCAGCTCCTCGGGGAGCCCCACCTGTGCAGACACGGCGTCAGCCACCCGCCACCGAGCCCTGGGGTGTTCCCACCCAGCTCGGGGACCCCACATATATCTGTTACACATCCAACATGGGCATGGATGGTGTTATTTGGGTGCTTTCAGAGGCAGGGAGATGGGCGGTGGGCCCTGGGCCAGCTGAGGGATGGGTGGTGACTCCCCATAGAACCCCAGGATGGTCTGTGTTGTAAGAGACCTTAAGGGCCATCTCATTTCACCCCTTGCCATGAGCAGGGACGCCTTCCACTAGACCAGGTTGCTCCAAGCCCCATCCAACATGCCTTGAACACTTCCATGGTTCAGGCAGCCACAACTTCCCCAAGGGAAGGGTGATGGGAAGGCCACTCTAGGGATAGGTAGTGGGCCTTAGGCCATCCTAGCAATGGGTGATGGATCTCAGACCACCCAGGGGACGGTCATAAGTCCCAGGCCACCCTACAGATGCATTACAAGGCCCAGATCACCCTAGGGACAGGTGATGGGTCCCAGGCCACCCTAGGGATGGATGATGGATCTTAGCCACCCAGGGGATGGGTGATCAGTCCCAGGCCACCCTAGGGATGGATCTCAGCAACCCAGGGGATGGGTGATCAGTCCCAGACTTGCTTGTAGGTGCTTGTGTTCAGGAGCGACCCACACAGGGCTGCCCAGTCCTTGCACCCACCGCCCCCTCCCACAGGGGCACCAAAGCACCACAGCAGCTTTGCTCAGAGCCCTGGGGATACTGAGCCCCCACAGCCCAAAAAGGCTCCTGCAGGAGGGGCGGGGGCTCTCACCTGCGGCGGGATGATGTCGAAGAGGTCCCCACCAGGGGCATACTCCTGAGCGAAGACGTAGCAGTCCTCAGTCTCGAAGACCACGTCAAAGACCTTGATGATGAAGGGGCTGGAGGAGAGTGTGTTGGTGATGCTGAACTCCCGCAGGAAGTTCTTCAGCTTCGTCTTGCTCTTGTTGACGAACTTCAGGGCCATCTTGGTGCCTGCGGAGGGCAGGGGACGGAGGTGAGCCCAGGGCACGGTTGGGATGTGCCAGGCACTCTGCTCCCAGCACAGCCCCCTGCTCCACTCACCTGTGCTTTTGTGGGACACCAGGTCCACCTTGCCGTAGGTGCCCTTGCCGAGCTCGCGGATGAGGTCGTAGTGCTTGCTGATGTCGGTGCCTGAGAGGGTGCGGATGGCCAGGGACTGCATGTCCTCGGTGATGAGGGGCACCCCGCAGCAGGCCAGCTTGCGCGACGGCTCCTGCTCAATCGAACCCGCGCTCATGGTTGCGCTGCAAGGCAGAGGCGGGGCAGCATTTCGGTGGGTGCTGCAAAGCCACCATGTCCTGTCCCATCCCGTCCCGTCCCATCCCACCCCCAGGGCTGGAGCAGCCCCCACTGAGTGCCACCCCTCTGTGCCCTGTGGCCACCGACCAAATTGCTCTGGAGAGGATGCTCCAGTCTCTGTGGGGCTGCAGCCGTGTGGGTCAGTGGTCCCTGTGCCACCAACTCAGGGGGACGTCTGGGGGCAAAGGGAGGGCTCAGGGCATGGCAGAGACAGGAGGGCAGGGACATGGACACACACATGGACACACACGGACACACACATCTCCTCAGCCCTGGTGTGTTCACAGCCACCACACACTGAGGCCTTTAGGGGCTCCCCACTGCTGCCACAGTCCTCAGTGTGGACCCTGGCAGCCAGCCCTGTCCCCTCCACCACTGCAGCCCCCTCCAGAGCCGAGCCTCACACAAGCCAGTGGCACTCCAGAGCAGAGCCAGGGCCATGCTGCACGAACCAGGCGGGATATGATGGCTCTTCCAGAAATCCCTCCATCATATCCCCCTGACTATCCATCAGCACTGACTCTTGGCCTCCCCCTGCCAAGGTGATGGATGCCCTGGTTCAGAGAATCACAGAATCCCAGACTGGTTTCAGTTGGAAGGAGCTTCAAAGCTCAACTCATTCCACCCCCTGCCATGGGCAGGGACACCTTCCTCTACACAAGGTTGATCCAAGCCCTCTCCAGCCTTCAACACTTCCAGGGATGGGGCAACCACAGCTTCTCTGGACAACCTGTGCCAGGGCCTCACCACCCTCACAGGGAAGAATTCCTTCTCAATATCCCACCTAACCCTGCCCTCTGGCAGTGGGAAGCCATTCCCCCTTGGCCTGTCAGTCCAGACCCTTGTCCAAAGTCCGTCTCCAGCTCTCCTGAAGCCCCTTTAGGCATAGGAGGGGGCTCTAAGGTCTCCCTGGAGCCTTCTCCAGGCTTTAAAATCCAAATTCTCTCAGCTTTTCCTCATAGCAGAGGTGCTCCATCCCAATAATCATCTTTGTGGCCTCCTCTGGACTTGCTCTAACAGATCCACATCTTTCCTGTGCTGTGGACCCCAGAGCTGGGCATGGTACTCCAGGTGGGATCTCACCAAAGCCGAACAAGGGGTGGCCCAGCCAGCAGTACATGGACAACAGCACCAACATTCTTCACTCCCATCAAACCAGTGACTCTTTTTCCTCACTCTGACCATCCCTACAACAAGAGCTTGGAGTCACTCACCACACTGTCTTCAGGGTGCTGCATCATCTTCCATCACCCCCTGAAGCACCCACAACCCCCCAGGGTCAAGATCACACCCAACCCTTTCCCAACAAGGCTGAGACTGATCTCCAACTTCTTCCTCCTTCCTTCCCTGCACCATGCTGCCTCTCATCCCAAAGCAAAGCTCAGCTTCTTCACTTATTATAGTTATATTTTTTTTCCCTGGGAAGTTGGGGAAAAAATAGAAAAGGAACTTCAACATCATGATGTTCCAAAAATGTAACAGTTTGACTCATAAGATCTCCAAAGCAGCTCATCTCCATAGTGTTTCATTGGCCTCCTGGCAGAGGAGCACCATCTCAGCGTCTGGGTGCTGGAGGTGGAGGTGGATCAGTGCAGCAGCTTGCTGGAGGCAGGACTGAAAACAGCCCCCAGCATCCTGCAAGAAGAATTCCGTCTACACTTGGATTTACAATCACGCTCATCGATGTCTCTTAATTAACCGGTGTTGAAATGCAATTATTCACGTCAGGGAAGTTGGGCTTTGAGGAAAAAAAACCTGTTGGTTGGATGGGAGAGAGGAGGGGAAGGACTGATGCGTTGTGGAAATGCTTTCCAAGTCAAAGGCTGTTTGCTTTTCCTCTTGGCTCAACCTGTTGGGGTTTCCAGGTGTCTCTGACCGTCAAACGAGGAAAATCCATGAGAAACAGAGATCCCACCAAGCCCGGTGTCCCTGCTGTGGTCTGCATGGCTGGCACAGGGATGTGCTTCCAGGGATGGGGCCGGGATCCTGCCGCAGTGCCGGCTCCGCACAGCACACCCCGCTGTGCCAGGGCTAACGGGAACACGGAGCCATCAGCGATCCCGGGAGGGACCCAACAGCAGCGGTGACCAAAATACCAATGTGCCGAGACCGAGGGAAGCGTAAACACAGAAGTTTTCATTAAAAATTGAAATGCTTTTGAAAACATGTTGGGTTTGATGTGAGCAGCGAAGCGGGGCAGCAGCGGGTGGGAGCGAGGGCTCATTTCCAGCTCTGCATGCTCACAGGGACAGCTGGGATGGGGGAACAGCAGGACACGGGGAGATGATGGTGCCAGTGCGGCAAGAGATCCCACCAGCCTGGCACAGCTGGGGCTGAGGTCTTGTATCTTTGGCTGCCCTCTGCGCCCAGGCCAGGCCCACCAACGTGCCAGATCGGGACACCAAAGCCAAAATGGGGCCTTTTCTCAGCGCACCAGCTCCTGTCCTGCCCCTAAACACTGGAAGATCACCATGCCCAAAGGAAGCCAAACCCGCCTTCTCCCAGCTCAGTTGTTTCGGGTGTTCCTGAAGGAGCTTTCCCAAGAAGGGAGTAAGGATGCACGTCCCAGCTGAGCCCTGGCAAAGGCCCCCACCACTCTGGGTCCTGGGAATGGCAAAGGGGCAGCAAAGCTGCTGCCACGTGGCAGCGGGACCTGCTGCTCACCACAGGCAGTTCCTGCCGTCATCTCCGCATCCTGAACCGTTTCTCCTACTATTCAGACTAAAATTGTTCTGTGTTTAAGCTTCAGAACCATTTATCTCATTGAGTGAGGAGGATAATCCACCCACTTCTTCCTTGCTCCCTGGCAGGTATTTATAGGCAGCCACTCGTCTCCGTCGGCAGCTGCTGCTGCTCTTCCCAAACCTCCCGGCTCCATCACCAACATCACAGAGCAAATCCCAGGAAGACATAATCCCATATCCAGAGCCCAGCATCCTGCCAGGTACTGAGGCCAGCACTAACAAACCATTCCCACTCTGATCCTTAGAAGGAGATGCTTTGCCCTGCTCTGCATCCTGCTCCACATCCCACACCACTGCACACCCAGCCCTGGGCACATCGGCTCTGCCGATAACTAATTGCAAACTCATTAAGAGCTCATTGAGAGGAGCAGAGGACGCCCGGGAGAGCTGCCCCAGGCTCCCCTAGAGGAGGCTGCTGGAGCAGCAGCTGCTTGGAAATTAAGAGGGAAAGGGGGAAAAACTCCCTCTGGTCGCATCAGAGACTGACAGAAAAACAACCCATTTATTGAGGGAGGTTAGAGGAAAAGGGTTTGGGCTGACCCCAGTGCAGGGCTGGGAGCCTGGCCAGGAGATGGAACTTGCACCATGGGCTTCTCTGGGGAAAGGAATTGGAAAAACAAAGGGAAAACCTATGCAGGGCAGGGGCAGGGCCTTGGCAAGACCCCAATTTCTCTTTAAAGAGGGGAGAAATGAGAAACATGCAGCAGTGGGATGGGCACAGGCCACACTGCTCTGTCCCTGCACTTGGTAGGTATTGGGCAGAGCTTTGATTTCTCCCTTTGCCATCCCCAAATCCTTAGTTATTAGCAGGTAACACTGACTCCCCTCCAAGCCCAGCAGGCTGGAGGCCAAGGCACCCATCAGGAGGAAGCTGCCTCCCTTCACACCCTAACCAGCTCCCAAACCTCCCCTATTTTCCCCAAACTACCCACTGAGCCAGCAAAGTCATGTCCAAGGGGGGTTGGCCCTTTGCTGCTCCTGGTCCCCCTCCTCCCACACCACCTTGGTGCTGGGGTGTCCCCGGGGCAAGGGGCCAGTGGTGCTTTGGCCGTGCCCCGAGCGGAGCCGCTGCCTCCCAGTGCCCCGCTCCATTTCCAGACCCCACTGCCTCTGTTCCTGCCTGACCCCGTTCCAGGGACATCCTCTCCTCTCCTCCGCACCGCTGGGACCCGCACAACAGATAACAGATATGAGCTGTGCTTCCTGGGGGCCGTGGCACAGTGGAGCCCAGGGAGGGCTTGCAAAGGCACCTTCGCCTAACGAGGCCGTCTCTGCAGGCACGGGGGGAGGACAAGCATCTCCCGGGGGCTCGGAGCCACTGGTACCTGCCACGGCTGGGCAGCCTCCACCCCGGCCAGCCATTGCCTCCCACCTCGCCAAAAGCAGCAAAACATGTAGGGAAAGAGTTCCTTGACCCCTGTGCCATCCCAGGACCATCCGAAACCGCTCGGGATAAGCTGAGTATGTCCAGGAAGTGGTCGGTCACACGTGGCTCAGGGACATCAGCCTGTGGCAGCAGTTTGGGAACAGCCCCTCTGCCAGCATCCCGCAGCCTGGGAGGAGCAGCCACCTCCAAAGAGGCCATGGATGGGGCACATCTACACGTTCTCTGGCTGGCTCTGCAGGGAAGTGCTGGAGCACCACTGACACCACCCGAACTAGCACCAAACCTCCACCAAAGCACCTGCAGCAATTCGGACTTCCCAGTGACCCCAATCTGGGACTGAATTGGCACTGAATTCCAAGGTATCCAACAATTCTCATACCAGCTCCTTGCCTAGACTAGAGCAGCCTTCTCAGCACCAGGATCGTCTTCAGCAAAGCCAATGAATGCCCAGCCGTGCGCAGGATCCCAGTTGGCAGGAGCTGCTGTCCCGGTGGGGATGTCCCAGCTGTGGGGCAGGGTCAGGCCCCCTCACACCCATCCGTAGTGTCTCCCGCTGTGGGATCCATCTCCCATCCTGACTATCAGCCTGTGACAAGATTCCTCAGCCTCTGGTCCCAGGATTCAGGTTTCGCAGGCAAATTTGCGAAGAGCAAACAAAGCAGCACCAGAACTCTCTCCTCCAACAGCTCCTGGGGAGCCACCACTCTTCCTTCCTGCTGCTGTCCTCCGTGCCCTCTGCACTGCTCCCCCGGAGCTGCCAGCAGGATTTTCCCCGCCCTCATCCACACTGTGCTGTGCTGTCTCTGTCCATCAGCCCTGGTGACAGGACCTTGGCCACCTTTCAGTGCTTCGGCCTCCCGGGATTTCTGCTGCTGAGCGGGATGGTTTCGTTAGGACCTCAGCTCCTCCAGCCTCCAGCTGCTCCCGCCTTCACCGCCGGCACCGGGGATTTATGATTACTTCATTGTTTGATTGGTTTCATCAGCCTGTCATCATCTCCCTCCCAAAACTCTTCCACCAGCGCCAGCAGCACCGCACGGTTGGGATCTGCAAAGACAAATGCCCCGAACGGCACCTGCCCATTGCCTGCCCACCGGGTCCCCAGGGCAGGGCCAGCTGGCCCTCAGCCCTGCTCACTCCCGGGGGCAATGGGGGCACATCACCCCACCACAAAAACCAGAGCTGACACCACCCAAGAGGCTGCACAGCCTGTACGTGCCCCATGCAGCCTGGGCATCCCCCCTGCCTCGGCCCGGCTCCCACCGCTGGGAATGCTCCCAGGAAGGAGGGTGCTCCCACCGACACTGTGCCTCATCTCCTCCCACGGCATCCCGGGCTCCCACGGCATCCCGGGCAGGGCACGGGCACACCCCGCTCAGGGCCACTCTGAGCGCCGGGCAGGTCGGGGGCTCGGTGTGTGGGCACCCAGCTCTGGGCTTCACCTCCCCGTGGGTGACACCTCCATACCGGTCTGGCACAGAGGGGTGCTGAGGCTGCACCACCCTGTCCCTGTCCCTGCTCCCGGTCCCCGAGCTGTGGTGGGGCTCCCGGCTGGCGTCGCCTGCCCGCGGCCACAGCGGCAGAGGGGCCGGACCTGGAGGAAAGTGGGTCACGCTCCCCCTTCCCCGCCGCAGCCGGGGAGAGGCTGGGATGGGATGGAGGGGGGGTCCACACCCGTGCCCGCACCGAGGGGACACGGGGGCACATGGGGGGGGAAAAGGGGGGACAGGGCAGGTGATGAGGGAACATAAGGGGACATGAGGGGACACAATGAAGGGACACGAGGGGACGCAAGGCGAGATGACAAGAGGAGATGAGATGGGGAGATGACAAGAGGACAAGAGAGGACACAATGAGGAGACAATGAGGGGACAGGAGGGGAAATGGTGAGGGGGCTTGAGGGGAGATGACGAGGACATGAGGGGACAACGACGACGGGAGGTAAGAGGGAAGACAGGAAGCTGATGAGGGAACACAAGGGGGGATGAGGGAACATGGAAAACAAGGGGAGATGACATGGGGAGGTGATGAGGGGACACAAGGGTACACAATGAGAGGAAACGATGGGAGGTGATGAGGGGACACGAGGGGACATGGCCTGAGCTGCCCCCGAGGCCGCCTCTCCCTGCTCTCCCCTTCCCCTGCTTCCAGCTGCCTTCCACCTCAGCGCATCCTTCCAGACGCCCCCAAATACATGGGGAGCCCCCGGGGACCAGACCCCCGGTCCCCCGGCCCCGGCTCCGCTCCGGTGTCGCTCAACGCCCCGCCGTCCCCGTCCCTCCTCCCCGTCCCCCCCGCGCCGTGCCGGGGCCGCCCGGAGCGCAGGTGCCATCGGCCGCAGGAGGGACCCGGGCCGGGGAGGGCGGCCGATCCCGGGGGCAGCGCCCGCACCGCGCGGTGCCTCTCCCCGCTCCGTTCATCCCGGAGCCCCGGTTGTACCGGGATGAAGGGTCTGCCCCCTCCCAGCGCCGTGCGGGCAAACAAAGGGCGGCCTCGGTACCGGGCGGGCAGCGTCTCCCGCACCCCCATAGCCGCACCCCCATCGCCCCACCTCATCCCCGCACCCCCAGCCCCGCACCGCCGCCTTACCGGAGGGACGAGCCGCCGCCGCGCCCCGTCCCCGGCGGGAGAGGAGCCGCCGCTGCCGCCCTCCGCTCGCCCCGCCGGGCTCCTCATGCCGCGGCCCCGCCGCCGCCGCCGCCGGAGGAGCGGAGCGGAGCGGAGCCGAGCCCCCCGCAGCCCCCGGCAGCGCCCGCCCCGCGCCGCGCTCCGCCCGCACCGGCACCGGCGCCGCCCTGGGGAGGGAGCGCGGAGCGGGAGGAGCGGGAGGAGCGGGAGGAGCGGGAGGAGCGGGAGGAGCGGGGGGGCTCCGCCGCCGGCCCCGCGGGGATGGGGAGATGCGCGATGAGGGATGCGGGGCGCTGCTTGTCCCCGCCCTCCATGTAGCTGAAGGGATTAAGAGCGGGAGTAGCCCTGGAGAGGAGGGTCAGGGATGAGCCGCCCCCTCCCCACCGGGTGCGGAGCTCCGGTACCGCGGGTTCGGCACGGAGCAGACCACGGGGCTGGGGACAATAGAGACGAGACCGGTGCTCCTAAGGGGTCAGCTTCACACCCCTCACCCACCCAAGGACCCCGATAGTCCGAGCTTGGAGCATATGAGGGTCAGCAGCACCGGCACCATGCAGCAGGAATGCCCAGGCACAGGACTGATCCCGCTGCCCAGTGGTCCCCCGGGCACTGCTATCCCTGAGCCCTCCAAGGATTTGGTCCCTCTCCCTTGGCACAGGTGATGTCCACTGTGGTGTGGGCGATGCCCACCATGAATCCTAGAGTCACAGAATGGTTTGGATGGAAAGGGACCTGCCATGGGCAGGGACACCTTCCACTAGCCCAGGTTTCTCCGAGGCCCATCCAATCTGTCCGTGAACGCTTCCAGGGATGGGGCAGCCACAGCTTCTCTGGGTAATCTGTTCCACCACAGCACAGGTGATGCCTCACCATAGCACAGGCTACTCCCCAAGAGCTGCTCCTCAATACATGCAGGACACAAGGCTTCCCACGGATGGTAAGACCCTTTGGGCTGAGCTAGGGAATACCAGCTGAGGCAAAGGCAGCACAGAGGCTTTCCTTCAGCCTCCTTAAATTTGGCAACACGCTTAGCAAGCAATGCCAGAGCTGGGCACCAGGAGCTCCCAGGCACCTCCAGGCCAGGGGACAGTGACAGCTTTTCCGGAGGAAGGCGAGGGGTAGGCACCGTGCTCTTCCTTGGAGCACCCCTGGGCACATCGCCTCTTCCTGCATTTCCTTCTGTTCCCACAGACGTGGAGCAGGGACATTTAACACAGACCACGATTTGGTTGACTCTCAGCTGGGTGCTGGGTCCCTTTGCTCCCCTGATGCCACTTTGACCTGACCCACAGCCATGGGGCTTCCTCATGCTCTGAGGGGCGGCACTGGGCTGTTCCCACACACCAGCTGTGCCTGCTCTGCTGGGATTGGGGCTGTCCCATTGCCCCCTGAGCCACCCAACCCCTGGACAGGGCCGGGGAGCCATCGGCACTGACTCACTGCCGGCTCTGATCTGCTCCTGTAGAGGACGCAGAGCAATGAATCTTTTCATGAATGACTTTAAAGCAGGAGGGTGAATCACACTCCAGCACTGTGCTTTAATTTGTGTCAGGATCGGCTGTGCCACTGTCACCCTCTTCCCTCTTGGCAGCTGCACGGGGCACTGCCAGCCCCAGGGTCTGGGCCCTGGGAAAGGCTCACAGTGCCAGTGCCCTCAGTCTCCCTCCACTCACCAGTTCCTGCAATAGCTCCGGCACCTGTGGCTCGAATGCTCCAAGTGTGGGTGATCCCCACTGGGATGTGGGTGATCCCCACTGGGATGTGGGCATCTGCGTGGCATGAGAGCAGAACTGCCAGAGCCCAGTGCCCCAGCAAGCCAGGGTGGGCTGGATGCGGGCTGACGGTGCCCAGAGCAGCTGCTGTGGGGCTGGGAAAGGGGTGGCACAGGGCAGGAGAGTGTTGTGGGGTGAGGGTGCTGGGAAAAGGGAAAATTCTGGGAGATGGGGGCAGAGCTATGGTGCTCCCTGCACCATTGGGCCAGCAGGACACGGGCTGGTGAAAGCCACACCTGCCTTCCTTGCACACCCCACTCCATGGGCTGCTGGGGACAGAGTGGGTCCAGCCTCACCCCTTCCCAAGTCCCATGTCACCCTGTGTCCCCTGCCTGTCCTTGCCATGCCATTCCAGCTCCCACAGCCTCCCGCTTGCAGCATTCCAAGCTGCTCCTCTGAGCTCTCCTTTGGCTCCCGCCCTATTTATAGCTCAGGGCTGTTTCTAGGTCAGGTGGGAGGTGCCAGTGCCCAGGGAGCCAGCCCAGGGACCACGGCAGGCTGCGGGGATGGTGTCACAGGTCCTACACATGGATCATCTCCGAGTGTCACCCCCCAGTGCTGGAGGATGGGGCTGTGCTATGCTCTGGGTACACAGAGGCTGAGCTGGCAGTGAGGGACCAACTGGGCCTGGCAGGGCTCCGTGAGACTCTGTGGGACTCCGTGGGACTCCATGGGGCTTGGTGGGGCTCAGCAGGGCTCAGTGGAGCTCTATGGGACTCCATGGATCTTTGTGGAGTTCTGTGGGGCTCCATGGGACTCATCAGGACTCCATGGGACTCCATGAGGTTTACCAGGTCTTCATGGGGCTTTGTAGGGCTCAGCAGGGCTCCATGGAAGATTCCACAGGGCTCCATCAGCACTCTGTGGGGTTCTGTGGGGATCTCTGGGGCTCCATGGGGCTTAACGGACCTCTGTGGGGCTCAGCAGGACTCCATGTGGCTCCGTGGGACTCTGTGGGGCTCCATGGGGCTTGTCAGCTCCCTTTGTGGCTTCCAGGCTGCAGCCTGGGCCCTCGCCAGCATGTGGGTCACACACACTTAGTAGTAACACCAGTAGTACCAGGGAGCGTTTGCACCGAGCTTGTGGCCTTCAAAGCACTCCCAGAATATTAATAACTAATTAAGATTAACGAGATGAAAGAAACCGGATCAAATATGTTTATCACCTCATACAATCCCAAACCGTGCGAAGATCCCCCAGCCCCCCGAGGGACAACGAGTGTCCCTGGGATTTCTGCTCAGAAAGGGAATATCCAGCTTGTGCCATGGGATGTGCTTGGACAGGGTGGGTGGTGGGAAGTGACCTGGAAAGCCCCAAATTTTTTCAGCAATCCAAATCCCCTCGGAATTCAGCGAGAAGGTCGGTTGTCCCTCCGGCGTCGCTTGGCCAGAGCAGGAGCCCAGGGGCTGAGCCCCCCACGACCGGGGTTCCACTGCCACCCGCAGCCTGTCACGCACCGGTGATATGACCCAAAACCTGCCGGGCTTGCTGCGGGGATGCTGGGAAGGAGGAGAGGGAGGGAAGCGGGCAGGCTGACGCGGGAGCGGAGCACGCCGGGAGCCGCAGCTCCGGCAAAGGGAACCGCTCGTCCCGGGGGCTCCGCCGTGTCCCAGCTGGGGGCCGAACAACCCCCACCCCGCCAACCCGGGGGGCGCTGGGTGCCCCCTCCGCCCCTGGGGACAGCGCCCATCCGTGCGGAATTCCAGGGTAAAGGGGACTGGTGGGAGCTGGTTCCCGGACTGTGGACGGGGGGCTCAGCGCCCCCACCTCGGTGGTCCCCCCACGCGTGTGTTGCCATCCCATGTGGTGGCAGCCGGGATGAGATTCCCAGCGGCTGCTCTCAAGGTCGGGGAGGGGACACGACCCGGGAGCTATGGGGCAGCGGTGGGCACACGCCAAGCCCCTGCCAGCGGCCCTTGGGGTGATGTCCC